GCAGTAAAAAAGCAGTACATGTGTAAGAAACCGCAGAAAGCGGGGGTGGGGGTGGCGGGTGAGGAGGAGAGTCGAAATACGATGTGGAATAATTTAAATTTATGTCTTGTGTTTGTTGTAAAATGAAAAGTATAAATAAAAACGGGTTGGTGGTTTTTTTTTTGCAAGTTTAATCCCTGTATGGGACAGCTGCATATTCCTGCATTGCAGGGGTTGGAATAGATGAGCCTCAGGGTCCCTTCCAACTTCAGTTCTAGGATTCTGTGACCTGAGATGAGTCTTGAAGTGCTGCTTCTGTAATCACACAGAACACCTCCCCGCTTTCCTGCCTATGTCGACTGCAGAGCAGCGCAGTGGTTGTGGAAGCCTCAAACACGTGCCACGTTAGCCTGAAATCTATACGGCCACACAAGTTTGAGGTGCCACTCCAGGTACACCTTTGCACCCCTTCCCAATAGCATTTAGTTTCTGGACAATTTCTTCTAAACTTTTCCGACGGTCCTCGAGCGCATCCTTCCTGAAACCTCTTTTTAAATGTGTGCAGTCTCTCAAAATACATGCCCAGAATGTACCTTCTGACCCTGAGCGCTGGGTAGCACCATTTAGAAGGAGGTGCAAAAATCCAGAGGTTTGTCCAGGTCCTGATCCACTTGCCGGGCAAGAGGGGTATTTCTGCATAAGGCTTCACGAAGATCTACCTGCTCAGTCGTGTGCCTGGCTGCATAGACACAGAGCACATTGAAAGCACCTGAGTCGTGGTTCGTGGGCCACTATCCGCCCCCCTTACCAGTCCTCTAAACTCCAGCAGGAACTAGCAGGGAGAGGGATAGGACACAAGGAGCTTTGAGGCACAAGCCCAAACAGTAGAAAGCTGCCACCACCTCCTTTCCTGGGCCAACGTTTGAAAAGAGTCCAAGGAGGAAAATCCCCTTTCAATATTTACCGGGTTGCCCAGCTCTGTGTCACTGTACAGTGATGCAGACAGAAATCCAACTGGTGTAACCAGTAGGTGTCCGAAGTGGCCAGGCGCTGGTTTAGTTTTGAGGATTTGCATGGCAAGATGGTCTGCAATTTGCATCTCAATTCCCCCAAACCTTTATTCCTGGAGAAAGGGTTTAGGGACCAATCAGGTCTTTAGATTAATTACCAATTTGCCAATGGCTGTATGCGGAGACAATAACTCTGGTTTGTCAGGAGACTTAGGACAGCTGAACTCTGTTTAGTCTCCGAGACATTGAGGATCAAAGACTCCCCCTTCATTCCCAGACTCTACCAGGTGCTTTGAGTGACTCCCAGCTGCCTGAATTTACAAATCAGATAACAGCTTCTTCCTGCTTAGAGAGGAGGCAATTTGAGTCACACCTCCAAAGACAGAGAGTTTTACAATTAAAGAAACCTGACACACATTTCCCAGGATGCCACAGTTTTAACCCTCCCACAATGCTTCACTCCTGTATGAACCAAAGTTTCAACCCCCAAAGATTTCCCAACTTCACTACAGCCTGACTACCCCCAAAGAATCCTGGGAACTGTAGTTTATTAAGAGTGCTGGGAATTGCATTCCTTTGAGGAGTCAACTGCATCTCCCAGGATTCTCCGGGGGAAGCTATGTGCTTTAATATAAGGGGTGTGTGTGTGTTTGTGTATGAGAGAGAGAGGGATTGGGAGGTCAGGTTAGGAAAGCATGATTTGGCTTGTATGAGTCATCCGGCGTTATGACTCAGTGACGTGGGTGGCCGGCCTCCTGCACAGACGCCGCTGGTGGCAGGCTTGGGTCAGAGATGGAGGTGTGTGGCTGCAGGGCTGCAGCTGCATTGCAGAATGGTGCTTTTACAAACCCTTTCCCAGGGATGGGCGGTGTTGCAAACAAAAATTGCCCTTTTCCCCTTATGGGGTATCCAAGAGCCCATACAGAGTCCTTACGTAGGTTCCCTATTGGTAGGAGAGAATAACAGAGGCCAAGCAGATAATATTGAGAAGCAAAGCAGCTTGTAAGCCTGATCTTTATTGATCTGTTGCAACAGGGTGCTCCCCTCACCCGCAGGAGAGGAGGAGGAACCCAGAAAAATGGCGCGCAAGGCCTTATAAAGACTTTTGAAATTGCCACCCTGTAGATCAAGACGGAGGGACGCAGGTGGCGCTGTGGGTTAAACCACAGAGCCTAGGGCTTGCTGATCAGAAGGTCGGCGGTTCGAATCCCCGTGATGGGGTGAGCTCCCGTTGCTTGGTCCCTGTTCCTGCCAACCTAGCAGTTCGAAAGCACGTCAAAGTGCAAGTAGATAAATAGGTACCGCTCTGGTGGGAAGGTAAACGGCGTTTCCGTGTGCTGCTCGGGATCTGATTTCTTTCCGCAGGGCCTGTAAGACAGAGTTGTTCCGCTGGCCTTTGGCTTATAATCAATTTGACTCCCTACCCCTCTTTCTCTTTTTTCCTTTCTCCTCCTGTGATGAGGCTGCATTTTAATGTTTCAATGTTGTATTTTAATCTTGTTTTTTAAGTTGTATTTCAATCAACTTGTTTTTATGATTGGTTGTTAGCTGCTCTGAGCCCGGTCTTGGCTGGGGAGGGCGGGGTATAAATAAAATTTATTTATTAATAATAATTATTATTATTATTATTATTATTCTCTATCCGTGGAAGCAGAGTGTAGCCATTGTGGCTGTGAGCCATCAGGAGCCTTTTCCCCTCTGGATTTGTCTAGTCCCCTTTTGAAACCATCCATGTTGGTGCTCCTGTGGCAGGGAGTTCCACAGTTTAACCATGTGCTGCACGAAAAGAAGCCCTTTCTTTTCTCCATCCCAAATCTTCGAACGCTCAGTGTAGCTCCTGGGAGTGATTATATATGTCTTCAGTTTTTCATGCTGTATTTTTTTAGTGTTGTAAGCTGCTTTGAGACCCAGATGGTGGAAAGTGATTATTGAAAGTTGATTATTGAAATAATAAATAAAATACAAATAACTAGACGAGTGGACGCGGGTGGCGCTGTGGGTTAAACCACAGAGCCTGGGGCTTGCTGATCAGAAGGTCGGCGGCTCGAATCCCTGCGACGGGGTGAGCTCCCATTGCTCGGTCCCTGCTCCTGCCAACCTAGCAGTTCGAAAGCACGTCAAAGTGCAAGTAGATAAATAGGTACCACTCTGGCGGGAAGGTAAACGGCATTTCCGTGCGCTGCTCTGGTTCGCCAGAAGCAGCTTAGTCATGCTGGCTACATGACCCAGAAGCTGTACACCGGCTCCCTTGGCCATTAAAGCGAGATGAGCGCCTCAACCCCAGAGTTGGTCACGACTGGACCTAATGGTCAGGGACCCCTTTACCTTTACCTAACTAGACAAGTAGCAGACTTTAATTGCAAAAGCAACCATGAGCTCAGTTCGCTTATGGCACAGAAAATGAATGTTCTCTGGTTGGAATGCTGAACTGTTGAAGTGTAATTGTGTAAGTTTGTTTGTGTGTTGCATGTAGCTCTGCTTTGAGCTTGTATAAGAATAATTGTATAAGAATAATGTTAAAATCCCAAATTTATTTTACAAATATCAAGGCACATGGTCACTCAGTGCCATCAGTATATGCAAATGTATAGAACCTTCGTTCACAATAAAAATGGAACTGTCTGGCGAATACTTTTATTTTTATAAATCTTTACTATTTGCAAAGGGAATCTTTGCATGAGTTAATATTTTACTATCCCTTTGGAGCTGCTCTGCAAATTTCTACTTTTCTCCTTGCTGGCCGTGACGCTTTACAGTTTAAATTTTTGATGCTTGCTTGTTCACCCACTAATAGGGAACGTGAGCTGGGTTTAGACCGTCGTGAGACAGGTTAGTTTTACCCTACTGATGATGTGTTGTTGCGATCGTAATCCTGCTCAGTACGAGAGGAACCGCAGGTTCAGACCTTTGGTGTATGTGCTTGGCTGAGGAGCCAATGGGGCGAAGCTACCATCTGTGGGATTATGACTGAACGCCTCTAAGTCAGAATCCCCCCTAAACGTAACGATACCGCAGCGCCGCGGAGCCTCGGTTGGCCTCGGATAGCCGGTTTGCCGCGCGCCTGCCGCGCGGCCTCCCGGTGCGGAGAGCCGTCCGCCCGGGGAGCGGAGCGCGGCCGGAAGGGGGCCGCCTCTCGCCCTTGGCGCACCGCACGTTCGTGGGGAACCCGGTGCTAAATCATTCGTAGACGACCTGATTCTGGGTCAGGGTTTCGTACGTAGCAGAGCAGCTCCCTCGCTGCGATCTATTGAAAGTCATCCCTCGACACAAGCTTTATAATAAATAAATAAATAAATAAATAAATAAATAAATAAATAAATTTTTGATGCTTGGTTTCTTTTGTGTGTTTTTTATGTTTGCACTTTTTCTGCTGTTAACAAATTAATGATAAATAAGTAAGTAAGTAAGTAAGTCAGTCAACCTGCTAACATATTTTTACCGTCGCTCACAGCTGTGCCAAAGTGAACTGCGATGGTGACAGGTGATGGCGTGGGGTTTCGGCAGCTTCTTACCATTTCTTCTTTTTAATACTTTAATTTTGCTTTAAACAAATACAGATAAATATAGACAACCAAAATTACGAAAGAAATTCCTTAATAATAATAACAATGAAAAAAGCTACAAAACTACAAAAAATATCAAAGTACATGGCCTAGAACATAAGCCATTATGGGAAAGAGAAAAAAAAGGGAAAGGAGGAGGAGGAGGGGGTAAAGAAAGAAAGAGAAAGAAAGAAAGAAAGAAAGAAAGAAAGAAAGGAGGGAAAAGGGGGAAAAGAGGAAGATGAGCCAAAACACAAGAAGGCTCATCTATTGTACGCTTCCGTCAAGATCACAACAGATCATTATTCTTAACAAATCTCTCTATCTGCATTCCATAGAATCCCTCATCTTGGTATCAGGGAACATTTCCCTATGCGGTATCCTTCTAAACATAACCAGGTTTTTCTTGATGAACCCTTATCCCCTTCTTACCATTTCTTTCTCTCTCCCCCCTCCTCTTTTTTAACAGACTCTTTCCCGGAAACACGATTGCTCGCCGGCCTTGATCTTGCATCGCGGCGAGGAGCCCTCCTCCCAGAATGTCAAGCTCGGGCTACCCTCCTAGCCAAGGAGCGTTCAGCGCAGAACAAGGGCGCTACCAGACGCATTCGGTCCAGTACACATTCCCCGGCGGCCGACACCAGCAGGCAAGGGGGGACGCGAGGGGGGAGGGCGCGCTTTCCGGGGAACTCCTGGGCGGCGGCGCTGGAGGGCTCTCCATGGCTGCCAGCCACAATGGCCGTGCTCTTCCTCCACTGTTGAAAGCAGCAACGCTTCTTGGTTGCTGGAAACCACAAGAGGCAAGAGGGCTCTTGTGTTTGGCTCCTACTTATGGGTTTCTTCTTGGGGCTGCTGTGAGACCACGATGCTGGACTAGAGGGGCCATGGGCCTGATCCAGCAGCCTCTCCCTATGTTCTTACTCGGGAACACAGGAAGCTGCCTTACCCTGAGTCAGACCACTGTTCCATTCAGCTCAGTATTGTCAACACTGGCCGGCAGCAGCTCTCTAGGGCAGTGGTTCTCAACCTGTGGGTCCCCAGATGTTGTTGGACTACAACTCCCATCATCCCTGAGCTCTGGCCCTGCTAGCTAGGGGTGATGGGAGTTGTAGTTCAACAACATCTGGGGGACCCACAGGTTGAGAAAGGGGATGGGTAGGCAAAGTAAGTTCCGGGGGCCGTATCTGGCCCAATCACCTTCTAAATCTGGCCTGTGGACAGTCCAGGAATCAGCGTATTTTTACATGAGTAGAATGTGCCCTTTTATTTAAAATGCATCTCTGGGTTATTTGTGGGGCATAGGAATTTGTTCATTTATTTATTTTTCCAAAATATAGTCCGGCCCCCCGCAAGGTCTGAGGGACAGTGGACCGGCCCCCTGCTGAAAAAGCTTGCTGACCCCATGCTCTAGGGGAAAATTTACAGCCCCCCCGAAGGTGCCATTGGGGATCAAACTGGGAACGTCTGTATGCAAAGCTACAGCCAGTAGTATTTATTGTTACCTTCATTAGAATAATTTAAGCCAACAGTTTCCCGTCCCTGAGCTCAGGAAGTTGTATGACAAGTATAGTTATGATGATGATGACAGGTCAGGAGAGGCTGGAGGAGCAGACAGTCTACAAAGTAAATGGATAAACGTTTATTGAATACACGGGGGAAATGGTGTACACTTGAAAACGTTGGCAGCATTAAGATAAATTCAACAGTGCAAGTAAGTTTTGAAGGATGTAAGAATGGAATACTGAATGGTTTAGTTTTTGTAAAATATGCAGGGATTTATAATATGCAAAATGAACCATGGAAAGAGAGGAAGGGAAGTCATTGATATTTTAAGGATGTTTAAATGAGTATTTCAAATTGTAAAACAGAAAATTGAATTATATATGTGTGTGTACCGCATTTTTCCGTGTATAACATGCTCGCGGCTGCAACCAATAGCCCATCCCCCCTCTGCACTATCCGTGTATAAGACCCCCAATTTTTAATAATAATAATAATGCTAATAATGCTAATAATATTTTTTATTTATACCCCGCCCTCCCTAGCCAAGGCCAGGCTCAGGGCGGCTAACAAGCAATAATAAAAACAAGTTGAATGAATACAACTTAAAAACAAGATTAAAATGCAACATTAAAATATTGAAACAGTAAAATGCAGCCTCATTTTTAACATTATTTTAGAGTAAACTTCGTCTTATACACGGAAAAGTATGGTATATGTGTGTGTGTGAGAGAGAGAGAGAGAAAGTAAATGGATAAAATGAACAAATCGAAGCAAAGGAAACACGGGTCATTTGAAAAGCAACGACCCACCAACGCTTCAGCTTTCTTGAAAGCGGTTGTGCTAAGGAGGCCGGTTCCTTAATTATTGCCAGCCTTGTGGCTCCTTCGAAAAACCATCCTCAAGTAACTGTCAATATTTGAGCAGCCAGTTGACCACTGTGCCAGCCCTCGGACCAGGGAGCTAGAGGCGTGGGTTGCGGCAGGCCCAGTTCTTAGCAGCTCATGTGAATCTCTGGCTATGTTACAAGGGGAGCAAAGTATGTCCCTTCCTCCTCCTCCTCTTCCTTCTCCTTCTCTTCTTCCTCCTTGTCCTCCTCCTCCTTCTTCCAAAAGAAACGAAAGGTTCTTCCCGGTTGGGCTGATCGATTCTTCAACCTTGAGAGCAGAATAGCTGGTCAGTTGTCAATGTTTGACCAGGCAGGTGGCTGGCGTGCCAACCCTGAGTCGTAAGTACATTAGAGGAACCCTGCAGGATCCGGCCAGAGGCTTCCAGAGCAGCTTACATACCATCAAATAAAACCAGACAGTCCCTGCCTTTAGGCTTTATGATCTAAAAGACTCGGCAAAGAAAGAAAACAGGGATGGGGGCAGAAGAGGGGGGAAGCAAAGGCATTTTCTTAAAGTAAAATTGTAGTTCTTACAATGAGTGGCTGGAACGGTAACAGTTCAGGGGCAGGAGGTCACTTTGGCGGAGCTGATGATACGAGCCCCACTTCCCATCTAGATGTTCTAAGCATGGGAACTTTTGGCTCCCCCCAGAGGTTGCTGGACTACAACTCCCATCATCCCCAGAGACTGTGATAGCCAGTGGCCAGGGAGAATGGAGGTTGTTCAGCAACTTCTGGAGGGCCAAAAGTTCCCCGGTGCCTTTTCCAGACGCTGTTGTGACCAAAGCCCTATCACAGACACCCCAAACATTGGCCATTGCAGCCAGGGGCTGATGGGCGTAACGGTTAAGAATGCTGGACTGTGGCCTGATAGAGAGAGCAGGGTTCGAATTCCCACTCGGCCATGAAGCCCACTGGGCTTGACCTTGGGCCAGTCACTGACTCTCAGCCTAACCTCACAGGGATGTTGTGATGAAAAAATGGGAATGGGGGGGAGGGGCAGAGCTACCATAGCTGTCAACCTTCCCTTTTTTTGTGGGAAATTCCCTTATTCCAGCTCTGTTTCCCGCTGCTTCCTGCTGCTATCCCGGATTGTTAGATATCCCATAGACCAGTGTTTCCCAACCGGTGTTCCGCGGCACACTAGTGCAGTGTTTCCCAACCGGTGTTCCGCGGCACACTAGTGTGCCGCGAGATGTTGCCTGGTGTGCCGCGAGATGTTACCTGGAGGGAGTCCAAAAAAGGTTGGGAAACACTGGTTTCTCTTTCAAAAAGGAAACGTGGGTTAAAGCGGCGCCGCCGCCTCCCACTCACTTTCCTGCTCTGGCTTCCCTAACAGTTTTCCGAGTTGCGTCACTGGATCCAGCCCCCTTTTCCACATGTGACACGGGGCTGGAGGGAGGGAAAGAGGGCTTTACGTCGCGCACAAAGGCAGCCTCCTAGAAGCGCTCTGGGCCGGCACCGTTTCGCCGAAGGCGCCGGAGGACCCCCACCCTCAGCTCCTTCAGAAAGGAAGCCCCGCCCCTCGGCTCCCTACGCCGCCAGGCAGCTCAGCTGACTGACGAGGACGTTCTGCGGCGGCGGCCGCCACACAACCACCGCAGTTGCTGGCAGCGTCCGCAGCGCAATAAGTAACAGCGCCTGGTGCTGCCAACTCTTTCTCTCTCTCTCTCCCGCCCCGCCCCCAAGCTCTCGTGCGCCCCGCGTCAACATCGCCGCGCGCAGCTTCCCGAGCTCGAGGCCAGCCGCTGCACGCACGCGCCGGCTTGTCATCGGCTCCGGTTGTTGCCTTTCTCTGCCGAGGTCGGTGGACCCCGAGCCTAGGCTTCCTTCCCGCACCCCGCTTTCCGAAGACCGCATACCAGTTGGGCCAGTACATATTCCCCTCCCGTGACTGGAGCGGAATAGCCCTTTCTCTTCTTCCCCAACCCTTGTCGTTGGAGGAGTCCCTCAGTCCCTCGCTTTGCTGCCTCCTCCCCCCCCACCCCCAAAGCTTGGAGGTTCCCCGGCAAGGGGGAGGGGAAAAAATTGAAAGTTACACTTTTGTGCGTCCCTCCCGGCGTGACGCTGCGTGCTGACGTCACGGGGCTGTAATGGTGGTGTGCCTCGAGATTTTTTTCATCAAACAAGTGTGCCTTTGCCCAAAAAAGGTTGGGAAACACTGCCGTAGACTGTCCCTGGGGCAGGTGAGGCTGCTGATCCCTTATTTTCAAATCTGAAAGTTGACAGCTATGAGAGCTACGTATGCTAGCTGGAGCTCCTTGGAGTAAAAGGTAGTATACAAAATAAAATAAAAATAAATGACATCTGGGCAGTGCCAGCTTGGGGTAGGCTGCCCTAGAAGGCACTGCTCCCGGGCACTCTACAATTCTATTATTCTTTCTCCTAGGTTGGAGCTGTTCATTGTTTCTTTTAAAAAAATACTGACAAAATAACCTGCCCCCCGCTTTTTATCTTGTAGGAGTTTGCTGTTCCTGACTTCCGCCCTTCTCACTTGGAAGTCAGCCAGGCCACGCAGCTCTTGCAGCAGCAGCAGCAGCAGCAGCTTCGGAGGCGGCCCTCTTTGCTGACTGAATATCACCCTGGCTCCGACAGGTAGGGCGCCCTCGATCTCTGACCTATTGTTACCTGATCCTGTCACCTTTCCCTATATGCACCAACTCAATCACTCCAATCTGCTCACCAGCCCTGTTGCAGGTTTCCGCATAATCCTTTTTCCAAAGTAAAAAACCACAACCTTAGATTGGTTAGATTGGTTTCAACTAGGGCAGGGGTCTGCAACCCACGGCTCCGGAGCCGCATGTGGCTCTTTTACACCTTTGCCGCGGCTCCGGGGCAGATACTAGCGAGGGGAGGAGGTGATTTGTGCGCCCCAACACTCCCCACTGTGGTGGGCGCTGTACTGGCTGTGACGTCGCATGGGGGCAGTGCGTGCATCAGTCACGCACCGTCCCGACGTCACCTTCCCGCCCGCTGTCAGATCGGAGGGCAGCGGCGCGCATGCAGGTCTACGACTGCGAGGAGGAAGATGACGTCCCTGTTTTGGACCCCCGGTAGGCCAGCCATGGATAAAGGCATGTTATATTTGTTTTAAATGTCACAATGGTTTTGCGGCTCCCAGTTTTTTTTTCCTTCGGAAACGGGGCCAAGTGGCTCTTTTTGTCTTAAAGGTTGCAGACCCCTGAACTAGGGCCAGGGCCTTTTCAGCACTGGCCCCGACGTGGTGGAACGCTCTGTCACAAGAGACTAGAGCCCTGCGGGATTTGACATCTTTCCGCAGGGCCCGCAAGACAGAGCTGTTCCACCTGACCTTTGGTTTGTACTCAGTCTGACCCTTATGTTTCCCTCCCCTTATGGTTTTGATCTATGGGCTACTTTTAAAATGTGGCTGCATTTTAAACTGCATTTTAACCTGTATTTTAAATTGCGTCCCCCCCCATTATGTTTTTACTGTAATTTTACTGGTGTTAGCTGCCCTGAGCCCAGCTCTGGCCGGGGAGGGCAGGGTATAAATAAAATTTATTATTATTATTATTAAACTTAATAAAAGGAGCAGTACGTAAGAACATGAGCTGTCAGTTCTGCCTCTCCAGGTTCATGGGGGCATTTGCGTTCATAATAGGGGATTTTATTTTGGAACCTCCCCTCTGGAACTGCTGACGGACGGATGCTTAAACACGCCGGATTAAAGGCTCTTCCATGTTTTGGTGCGTCAGCGATATTTCAGCAGAGACTGGGCAGCCCCTTGCCAGGGGTGTTGCCTCTGCTTCCTGCATTGAAGATCCCCACATTGAGCAGGGGATTGGACGCAGCGACCTCTTAATATCCCTTCCGACTCTGCGATGCTGTGAAAACACCCCCGCCCGCCCCAGATGTGCAAAAACGGGGCTGTGGTTTACTAAGTAAATTGGAATACTCCCTCGGACAGCTGGTGGGTATGCCATTCCATTTATTTCCTCTGCCTCTCAGGCCTCAGGAAAGAAGATCTGGCTACGAGGCCCAGTTCCACCCCGGCTCGTCGCAAGCTGATCATGATGCGCTGGATTCGAAGAGGCCGCGCTTGGACCAGGTTTCCGACTCCCACTACCAGCGGGTCAGCGCCGCAACGGTCCTGCCGCTGTCCCACCAGCTGCAGGATGGGCTGCGTTCGTCAGACTTGAAGAAGGTAATGCCGGCTGGGGAGAGGTCGCCGCCAAGTCCTGCCTTTTTGCCTGGTTTGAGGCATCGTCTGTACAGCGGTGCCTGGTGTCCTTTTGAACTGGTAGGGCCGGAGTCAGGGAGCCCAACAGTAGGTGGCGCCAGAGCCAGTGACAAGGGGAGCCAGCTCTAGGAAGCTCAGAGCTCCTCTGCCAAAGGAGTCTCACGGGAACATAGGAAGCTGTGTTACACCAAGTCATACCATTGGTCCATTTATTTCAGTATTGTCTGCACTGACTGGCTGCGGCTTTCCAGGTTTTCATGGGGGGAGTATTTTCTCAGGCCTACCTGGAGATGCCAAGGATTGAACATACGGCTTTCTGCACAAGAGGCAGGGTTCTACTTCTGAGCAATGGCCCTTCCTTGCTAAGTCACTGCTGTAAACTTGGGACACTGAAGGGCATTGGTCGTGGCTAAGGGCTAGGGCCCTTCAGCTGGTGCAGTATTCAGCGGCCGGGTTGCTCTCTGAAGCAAGACGGTTTGCACATATTACACCGATCTTGGCCCGACTGCATTCACTGCCAATTAGCTTCCAGGCCCAATTCAAAGTGCAGGTTTTAACCTATAAAGCCTTAAACGGCTCAGGACTGCCATATTTCAGGGACTGCCTCTTATCTGTACGAACCGACCTGGACTCTGTGATCATCATCTGAGGCCTTTCTTTGTTTGCCTCCTCTGCAAGAAGGGTGGCAATACAAGAACGGGGCCTTTTCTCCAGTGGCTCCCTGTTTGTGGAATGCCCTCCCCAGGGACCTTCACCTGGCGCCTTCATTACATATCTTTAGGCACCAGGCAAAAACTTTCCTTTTTAACCAGGCTTTTGTTTGATTAATATTCTACGGCTTTTCAAATGTGTTTGGGCGGGGAGGTTTTTTTTTATTTTAAAAAAATGGTAACGATCTGTTTGTTTGTTTTTATCCTGTATTTTATCTCGTAAACCGCCCTGAGGATCTTCGGGTGAAGGGCGGTATATAAATTTGACAAAGCAAAACAAATATATTTCTCTTTTCCCCCCAGGAGTCAGCTTTTGGAGGCAAGCATGACGGGCCGCCATCGCCGCTCTCAGGCCAGCCCTGCGGAGATGACCAAAATGCGTCTCCATCCAAGCTGTCAAAGGAGGAGCTGATCCAGAGCATGGACCGGGTGGACCGGGAGATCGCCAAAGTGGAACAGCAGATCCTGAAGCTGAAGAAGAAGCAAGTGAGTTGCCGGAGCAGGGAGGGGGGATCGCAGCCCACCCCATGGCCTGCTGGATTAGGAATGTGTGTGTGGAAGTCTCTTGGCAGAGAAGAGATGGGATGGGGGGCAGGGAAGCCTTTGGCCGAGGATGAGGGGCTGCTGCAGGTAAGTTGCAGGTGGGCGGAGGCAGAGCAGGTGGGCAGGGGTGGGGTAGCAGAGGATGGCGCTGCCGTTCCTGTTGATGGGATCTGGCTGAATCAACAAAAGGTTGGTCAAACCAGGGATCTGGCGGTAGAGCAGGTGTGGAGAACATCTGTGAGCCTCTAGATGTTGTGGTCCTCCAGATGTTCTTGGGCTCCAACCTTCCCATCAAGCCCCCAGGGATGATGGGCAACATCTGGAGGGGACTGCAGGCTAGCCACCCCGGAGCCAGCAGAAGGGTGTCTATTTATTTGTCTTAGATGATGATGATGATGATAATAATATTTTATTTATTTATTTATTTATTTATAATCATATTTATTAAAATTTCCAATAATAACAGAATAGAAAAAAATAGAAAAGATAAAGAAAAGAAAGAAAAAGAACAACCAATTTTACACCCTTATTTTCATAACCTTCTTTCTGGGACTCCCTCCTTCCCCTCCCGGCTGTATTCCCCTTTCCCTAAGTTGGTTCCACAAGTTCTCATACCCAATTTAAACCTAATATGATGTACCTATTAGCCAGTTTAAATTACAATCTTAACGTCACTCCTCATCTTTAACAGAATAAAGAAAAAGTTTTTCCCCCAAGATCTACCCCATTTCCTTCCACGAGTTCCCCCCTTTTTTTAAAACACATGTTAAATCAAAATACCAAAGTTATATAGAAAGATAAAAGATAGAAAATAGAAGAAAATTCCAAAAAGTTGGTTACATAGCCTTTGGATTCTAAAATTCCCCCTCCCTTCCCCGGTTTGGATTCCCCATGTCCATCAGTCTGTATGTTGTCGGCCTGGAGGTCTCAAGTCCACAGCCAAATTTTCCTCAATCCATCTTGCCGGTTTTCTTTAAATTTACTTGTTTTGATGCTGTTTAACTTCGAAAATCCAGTCCAATAGAGGCCTTGAATTTCCTTTGGTCGTAGTTGCTCCTCCCATTGTTCTTTCCGTGGCGTAGTTGGTCCTTTGCTCTTTTATTTCTTACTTTCTCAGGTTTCTGTCTTGTTCAGCTGCAAAACCATTCTTATTCCGAAATCTGATATCTACAGAGGTTTGTTATTCAGGAACAAAAACTTACGTCCAGTTCCTACCTTACTTCAATAGAAAAATTCTATTGTGTCGTCACCTCTGTAGACAAAGCAATATTTCAGTTTAGCTGCTTTCCCAGGAGATAAGACCTGTACACATCCCGGAGTAGTTTTCCACATACGCCACTTGTAATGTCCCAAAGCCCCTCTAGGGGGGTTGCAGTAACTTTGTATCCTCTAATCCAAAAGTCAAGTTGTTGTTTCTTTTCCCCCCGACATTTTGTATCCATTTTTATATCCAATTGTAACAAAATTTTCCAGCAAAATACTTATAACAGAGTCCCCTTTATATTCTCAAGATTTGACAGCTACTTTGACAGCTGTCAAATTCTCCATCTCTCTCCACCAGGTTCTCCGAATCGCCCCGGTTCCCGGGTGGGGGTTGCCTCCTCTCACCCTCGACTTTTCTCCTCCAGCGCAATTCTTGTAGTATCCCATCGTGGAATTAATATTTTTTGTCAGCAATAAGCTTCTGAATCGATCTTGGTTTCTCAGTCCTTGTTTTAGCATGTTTACAATCAGGGAGGGGACTGACTTCCTTTTTAGATCCCCCCCCCGCTCGTGCCGAATCCGAAAAAAAAATTCCTTTTTTTTTCTCCTTTTATACCCGGTTACCCAATTACTCACGGGTTGTTGTTAAATAGCCGAATTTCCAATGGAAGAAGCCAGCGCTCTCCGCCGAATGGCATGCGGCTGCGCTCGGCAGGGGAAGCGATAGACTCAAAGCACCACGCCACTCCCCGGCACCCGATCCGTAGCCTTTAAAAAGGCTCCTTCACGAGTCGGGAGGGCGCTAACGGTACCAGTCGAGTCCCCATGTCCACGGGCTCCGTGCCCGTGGTTTTTAAGGGTCCCCGCGTCGCCGGCGCGGTAGGACCCAGCCCCTGCCGAGCAGACTCCCTCCGGAGCTCGGAGGGAGTCCGCCATTCGGCGATGGCGCCAACCCGGAAGTCTGATAATAATATTTTATTTATACTCCACCCTTCCTGTGTCAGAAAACCGGGCTCAGGGCGGTTAACAACAAATTTAAAACACTTAATTGATGCAACAAAAAAACAGCATAAAATACAGCATAAAACGTGAATAACAATAAATTCAGAATGCAAAAATCAATTTAGGGGGGAAATCCATCCAGTAAACATTAGATGATCACCAGGGCTAGCTGGCTATATTAGTCCTATTTGGGCCAACGAGGAGACCAGGGGAGAATTAGCTGTGGGATCCCAGAGCGGGTAATCTTCATAAAAAGGGGAGAGGGAGGGAAGGAAGGGGAATAAAAGATCAGGCTAAGTTCAAATTGAAAGCCAGGCGGAATAGCTCTGTCTTACAGGCCATGCGAAAGGAGGTTAAATCCTGCAGGGCCCTGGTCTCATTGGACAGAGCATTCCACCAGGTTGGAGCCATCACTGAGAAGGCCCTGGCCCTGGTGGAGGATAGTCTGACTTCCTTAGGGCCTGGGACCTCTAAACTATGATTATTCATGGACCTTAAGGTCCTCTGCAGGGCTTACCAGGAGAGGCGGTCCCGTAAATAGACAAGTTTTGTATGCATTGTGATGCCACTTCGGGAGTCTTCCCGGGAGTTTAATGAAGTTTAATCGTAATCGTATATTTATATGCCGTTTAAACCGTCGCAAACCGCAAGTGGCCTTTTGCAGAAAAGCAATATAAAAGTTTGTTTAAAAAATACTGATAAAAAAGCAAACTTTAAATGAAACTCAACCTAAAAATTGTTTTAAAAGAAGTAATTCCAGCGTTGACAGTACTGTGCTAGATGGACCAGTGGTCTAATTCAGGATAAGGCAGCTTTCTGCGTTCCTCTCCCTGTTCTAACAAGAGACGCTAGAGAGTTTCCCAAACTTGGGTCTCCAGCTGTTGTTGGACTACAACTCCCATCATCCCTGCCCCCTGGTCCTGCTAGCTATGGATGATGGGAGTTGTAGTCCAACAACAGCTAACAGCTGGAGACACAAGTTTGATAAACATTAACATGTTCTTTTCCACACCAGGGGCTGGAGAATCTCTGTGGCTTTCCTGCTGCCTTTGGACCCCAATTCCCATCAGCCCCAGCCAGCGTGCCCCGGTCAGTGGTCAGGGACAGATGGGTGCCGGAGTCCCAACAACAGCAGGAGGGTTCCACATCGGTGACTCATGGAGTAGTCAAAGCAAAGCATCTGATTGTTTGCTTCACCCCTGGTTTACCAAACCCAGTTTTCCCCTGGTGTAGACTTTTTAGTCTCCCTCTGCATGATCCCTGAAGGACCAGGTGCGCAGCCTGGGAGTCATTTTGGACTCAAAGCTGTCCATGGAGGCACAGGTCAAATCTGTGTCCAGGGCAGCTGTCTACCAGCTCCATCTGGTACGTAGGCTGAGACCGTATCTGCCTGCAGACTGCCTCACCAGAGTGGTGCATGCTCTGGTTATCTCCCGCTTGGACTACTGCAATGCGCTCTACATGGGGCTACCTTTGAAGGTGACTCAGAAACTACAATTAATCCAGAATGCGGCAGCTAGACTGGTGACTGGGAGCGGCCGCCGAGACCACATAACACCGGTCCTGAAAGACCTACATTGGCTCCCAGTACGTTTCCAAGCACAATTCAAAGTGTTGGTGCTGACCTTTAAAGCCCTAAACGGCCTCGGTCCAGTATATCTGAAGGAGCGTCTCCACCCCCATCATTCTACCCGGACACTGAGGTCCAGCGTTGAGGGCCTTCTGGCAGTTCCCTCACTGCGAGAAGCCAAGTTACAGGGAACCAGGCAGGGGGCCTTCTCAGTAGTGGCGCCTTCACTGTGGAATGCCCTCCCACCAGATGTCAAAGAGAACAACAACTACAGTACCAGACTTTTAGAAGACATCTGAAGGCAGCCTTGTTTAGGGAAGCTTTTAATGTTTGATGTATTACAGTATTTTAATATTTTTTTGTAAGCCGCCCAGAGTGGCTGGGGAAACCCAGCCAGATGGGCAGGGTATTAATAATAAATTATTATTATTATTATTATTATTATTATTATTATTATTATTATTATTATTATGTCTCTCTTTTTTTAAGTTCAGAAGCAAAAATACTCTGCAGCCTTGTGACTGGCACAGCCTGGTGGCTCTGCAATCTCTTTGTGCCTTGTTTCTTCCTTTACAAATTTGCACCTTGCAGCAAACTGTTGATTCAGAAGCTGGCTTTCCCTCCCTCTCTGGTGACTCATTCCCGGTGAGAGCAAGGACCTTGGTACAGATGGCTGATTCTCTCTCCCCCCCCCCTCGCTTTTTTTGTCTCCTAGCAACAACTCGAGGAAGAATCTGCAAAGCCCCCTGAGCCGGAGAGACCCGTCTCCCCTCCCCCTGTGGAACAGAAGCACCGCAGCATCGTCCAGATTATTTATGATGAGAATCGGGTAACACTTGCTTCTCCCACCCCCCTTTTCAAAGCCTCTTTTATATTTGATGCAGGGATTTGTACCGGCACCAGTTCTTACTTGTGCCTGCGAGAGAGAGGATTCACGTGTTTGCATGTTGTGATGAGCTGGGGTTGGTGGCCTAGTGCGGTTTCATTGCGCATGCCAATTGATTGCACCTTCCCTGGGATGAGCGAACCCGGAAGCCGCCAGTTCCTATTAATGTCTGAACCCAGAAGTGAGGGTTGTTGCTGGTCTTTTTAGGCTCATGGCTTGGATGTTTGAGCCCCACCCCTCTGGCCCCACCTCTTCCCTCCCTCTGAGAGATGGAAAGAGAGAATGTGGGTGCAGAAACACACTTTGCTTTCCCAAAGCCTGTTCCAGTAGAATTAATCCAAACTTTTGAAAGCACGTAGAGCAGAAAGAGGAAGTGGGAAAGAGAGCCGCTCTTCCAACTTCCTCCTTCAGCTCTATGTGCTTTTCAAGGGAGAGAAAGGCAAACCTCATAAGTATGAGGAGGGGGTCTGTGAATGGGGAGTGGTGCCTCTTTGGGAGCCGCTGCTCCCTAGCTAGCCAGGATCCCTAACAAACCAGTTTGTTGTTGGGCTATGCGGCACTCCTGCTTACGCTAGGCTAGTGAGTTTCGTGCTGCACCATAATTGCCTTGTTTTCTATGGCGAGAGCCAGTGTGGTGTAGTGGTTAAGAGCGGTGGACTCGTAATCTGGTGAACCGGGTTCGCGTCTCTGCTCCTCCACCTGCAGCTGCTGGGTGATCTTGGGCCAGTCACACTTCTTTGAAGTCTCTCAGCCCCACTCACCTCACAGAGGGTTTGTTGTGGGGGAGGAAGGGAAAGGAGATTGTTAGCTGCTTTGAGACTCCTTCGGGTAGTTATAAAGCGGGATATCAAATCCAAATTCTTCTTCTTCTATGGAACGAGGTTGTCTTCATGAGTTCCCAAGAGTAAGTGCACCCTGTATACAGTGGTACCTCGGGTTAAGAACTTAATTCGTTCCGGAGGTCCGTTCTTAACCTGAAACTGGTCTTAACCTGAAGCACCACTTTAGCTAATGGGGCCTCCCGCTGCTGCCGCTACTGTGCGATTTCTGTTCTCATCCAGAAGCAAAGTTCTTAACCCAAGGTACTATTTCTGGGTTAGCAGAGTCTGTAACCTGAAGCGTCTGTAACCCGAGGTACTGCTGTATATAGCAGAAGTCATAGAATCATAGAGTTGGAATAGACCACAAGGGCCATCGAGTCCAACCCCCTGCCAAGCAGGAAACACCATCAGAGCACTCCTGACATATGGTTGTCAAGTCTCTGCTTAAAGACCTCCAAAGAAGGAGACTCCACCACACTCCTTGGCAGCAAATTCCACTGTCGAACAGCTCTTACTGTCAGGAAGTTCTTCCTAATGTTTAGGTGGAATCTTCTTTCTTGTAGTTTGGATCCATTGCTCCGTGTCCGCTTCTCTGGAGCAGCAGAAATCAACCTTTCTCCCTCCTCTATATGACATCCTTTTATATATTTGAACATGGCTATCATATCACCCCTTAACCTCCTCTTCTCCAGGCTAAACATGCCCAGCTCCCTTAGCCGTTCCTCATAAGGCATCGTTTCCAGGCCTTTGACCATTTTGGTTGCCCTCCTCTGGACACGTTCCAGTTTGTCAGTGTCCTTCTTGAACTGTGGTGCCCAGAACTGGACACAGTACTCCAGGTGAGGTCTGACCAGAGCAGAATACAGTGGCACTATTACTTCCCTTGATCTAGATGCTATACTCCTATTGATGCAGCCCAGAATTGCATTGGCTTTTTTAGCTGTCGCGTCACACTGTTGGCTCATGTCAAGTTTGGGTCAACCAAGACTCCTAGATCCTTTTCACATGTACTGCTCTCAAGCCAGGTGTCCCCCATCTTGTATTTGTGCCTCTCATTTTTTTTTTTGCCCAAGTGCAATACTTTACATTTCTCCCTGTTAAAGTTCATCTTGTTTGTTTTGGCCCAGTTCTCTAATCTGTCAAGGTCGTTTTGAAGTGTGATCCTGTCCTCTGGGGTGTTAGCCACCCCTCCCAGTTTGGTGTCACCTGCAAATTTGATCAGGATGCCCTTGAGTCCATCATCCAAGTCGTTGATAAAGATGTTGAATAAGACCGGGCCCAAGACAGAACCCTGTGGCACCCCACTAGTCACTCTACTCCAGGATGAAGAGGAACCATTAATGAGCACCCTTTGGGTTCGGTCAGTCAGCCAGTTACAAATCCACTGAGTGGTAGCATAGTCAAGACCGCATTTTACCAGCTTCTTTACAAGAATATCATGGGGCACCTTGTCGAATGCCTTGCTGAAATCAAGGTAGACTACATCCACTGCATTCCCTTCATCTAACAGGCTTGTAATTCTGTCAAAAAACGAGATCAGGTTAGTCTGACATGACTTATTTTTCAGAAATCCATGCTGACTATTGGTGATCACAGCATTCCTTTCTAGGTGCTCACAGTCTGTTTGCTTAATGATCTGCTCCAGAATCTTCCCTGGTATTGATGTCAGACTGACTGGGCGATAATTATTTGGGTCCTCTCTTTTCCCCTTTTTGAAAATAGGGACAACATTTGCCCTCCTCCAGTCTGCCGGGACTTCGCCTGTTCTCCAGGAATTCTCAAAGATGACTGCCAGTGGTTCTGAGATCACATCTGCCAGTTCTTTTAATACTCTTGGATGCAGTTCATCTGGCCCTGGAGACTTGAAACATCTAAACTAGCCAAGTATTCTTGTACTATCTCTATAAAGTCATTTCTTTATTCCAAGTTCAGCTTTGCGAGAGCTTCCAGGGCAACATTTTGAAGCAGGCTTTAAGCTTCTCGTCTGCAAAGCACATGGCCAGAGTTCCAGAAGTTTGGGGCTCGCTCAGAGATGAATACAGTGGTACCTCGGGTTACAAACCCTTCAGGTTACAAACTCCGCTAACCCAGAAGTAGTACCTTGGGTTACAAACTTTGCCCCAGGATGAGAACGGAAATTGCGTGGCGATGGCAGTGGTAGGCCCCATTAGCGAAAGCGCGCCTTAGGTTAAGAACGGTTTCGGGTTAAGAACGGACCTCCGGAACAAATTAAGTTTGTAACCCGAGGTACCACTGTCAAAAGGTGTATTTGTTGGGACTTTCGCCTCCATCAGTTCACTATAATAAGACTAATAAGAATGATAGATAAATTTTGCTTTTAGGAAGATGCAGTCCTCCAGCTGTTGCTGGACTCCAGCTCCCATCAGCCCCTGCCAGCTCAGCCATTGGTCAGGGATCTGGAAGGCTACATTTGCAGGGAGGGACACAGGTTCCTCACCCCTGGTATATTCCAGAGGCTTTTAAAGCACCGGTCAGCCAGATGCTCCAGTGCCCAGCTCTTTTCTGGTATCTTTCCAAGCAAGGAAAGTGTGTGTTGTCATCCCAGGATATAGCGTAATCCTGTGGTTCTCTAACTTTTTGCATGCACGACCCCATTGGTTCCATAAACTCACCCCCATTTTCCCTCCCTGCCTCCTAAAAAGCATTATTTAAATAGTGGTTTGCGTGACCCACTAAGGAACATAAAAAGGTAAAGGGACCCCTGACCATTAGGTCCAGTCGTGACCGACTCCATGGTTGCGGCGCTCATATCGCTTTATTGGCCGAGGGAGCCGGCATACAGCTTCCGGGTCATGTGGCCAGCAGGACTGAGCCGCTTTTGGCGAACCAGAGCAGCGCATGGAAATGCCGTTTACCTCCCCGCCGGAGCGGTACCTATTTATCTACTTGCACTGATGTGCTTTCGAACTGCTAGGTTGGCAGGAGCTGGGACCGAGCAATGGGAGCTCACCCCGATGCGGGGATTCGAACCGCCAACCTTCTGATCGGCAAGTCCTAGGCTCTGTGGTTTAACCCACAGTGCCACCCGCGTCCCCACTAAGGAGCATAATAGCACAATAAAATTCAAAACACTCACAATTAACTGCACATTGATTCATAATCCAATTAGAACTATTTAGTTTAATTAATTCATCAAAATTGGTATACTCAGTCCAGTGACACCAGCTTTTTAAAGTCCAAGAGGAATTTAAACCTCAAGCACCCCATTGCCTCTTAGTGCCCCCCCTATGCAATCCCACCGCCCCCTAGGGAGCTGTGCTGCCCACTGTGGGATCCACTGGCGTAATCCATTCCACATTTGCTAGTCTCCTGAGGGGCAGGTGGGCCGTGAAGCCCCTTCCCTGGACATTCCACCCAGCCACCTCTCTGACTGCTTTAATTGATCTTTTGAGCACAGCCGTGGGAACTGTGCTCTGTGTCTGTTGCCAAACTCCTGCCTGATGCAACATGGTGGTGGCGACACTGAATGTACACAGGCCTGGCTGTAACCTGTGTGTGTGTGTGTGTGTGAGAGAGAGAGAGAGAGAGAGAGAGCGAGCTAGAGAGAGAGAGAGAGAGCGCTATCTCTATTCTCCCCGTTGTGCAACCGAGAGCCATTTCCATGGAGAAGAATGCGGTCAAAGAGGAAGGCGAGGTCAGCACGAATAACCTCCGTTTCAGCTGGAAAGTTCAGCTGGTCTTGGGGGAGGGATATTTTGGCCAGGACGCAAGGCCTTAAAATTCGGATCCCAAAGCTCTTTGGATGCCAAGGAAACCCCTGGGTCCAAGTGCAAGTATCCAAGCAGCCTCCTGGCCCTTCAGGCATGGTAGACCTTTAATGTCCGTCTCCCCCTCCATCAGCTTCATCAACGACAACAACAACATATTTTAGCACTGAGCATTGAGGGGGAGCTTCATATCCCAGTTGCGAAGAACCAGGGTTGGGCAGGGGATAAAAGAAATAAGAAACACTTCCCCCACCAGGGCAGAAATAGAACTGGGTTTGGGATGGACAGCCCTCCATAGAAAATATTTTTGCTCTCAGAATGTTGCGTGAAATGTTTCCTTAATATATGTGTGTGTGTTTGTATCTATATGTTTGTGTGTGTGCATTTTCTCTTAAGTGTCCCGGTGCTATGACTTGCTATAAGGGACAGATAGAAGGAGGGAGTGTGTGTGTGTTTGTTTATAGACAGCTATCTATATCCATTTAAACCTGTGTGGGTGTACGTATCTGTCTATCTATCCATAGAAACTTATCTGCGTATAAACATAATCTATATCTATCAAAATCTGTGGGTGGGTGCACACATCTATCTACCCATAGAGAACTCTCCGTGTAGACCTACCTTATCTGTTGAAACTGTGCATTTGCATACACATCTATCCATAGACACCTCTTTCTGTGTGTAAGCCCATCTATTTATATTGAAACCTCTCTCTGTGTGTGTGTACACCTCTGCCTATCCGTAGAAACCCCTGGTGTGTGTGTACACCATGGGTAGGCAAACTAGGGGCCGGGGGCCGGATCCGGCCCAATCGCCTTCTAAATCCAGCCCGCGGACGGTCTGGGAATCAGCGTGTTTTTACATGAGTAGAATGTGTTCTTTTATTTAAAATGCATCTCTGGGTTATTTGTGGGGCATAGTTCACCCCCCCTCAAAATATAGTCCTGCCCTCCACAAGGTCTGAGGGACAGTGGACTGGCCCCCTGCTGAAAAAGCTTGCTGACCCCTGTCCTAGAATCATGGAGTCCATATGGGGATTGAACCTGCAACCTTGGAGCTAAACCAACTGAGCTCTCCAGGCATACTTCTGCCGAATCAGCCCATTGATCGGCATTGTCTAAACGGATTGGCAGGTGCTGTCCAGGATCTCAGGCCAGACTTGCCTTTTCCCAGTTTTGCCTGGCAATTGTGGGAACTGAACCTGGGACCTGACTCAGACCAAGGTGGCTTCTTGTGTTCCTGCTTCAGCCCTTTATTCGGAACCATGAGGACTAGGATCCTACTTTGCTTTTATGGTGTATATCTATATCCGTCTATTGAAATGTGTGTACATATCTCTGTCTACATACATGGGTGTATATATATATATCACCTTGCTGATATGCCATCCCATGATGCCTTTCTCTCCCCCCTTGGTTTTGCAGAAAAAGGCCGAAGAAGCCCACAAGATCTTTGAAGGCCTCGGCCCCAAAGTCGAACTGGTGAGCAACCCTGTAATTTTTGTGGCCTTTCCATGTGTGTCTCTCTCTCAAACTTGCTTTTAGCTCTTCCAGCACAAGGGTGGGGTGCGGATTCTCCCCACAGGTTCTTGGGCCCCGCTTCCCAATAATAATAATAATAATAATAATAATAATAATAATAATAATAATTTATTATTTATACCCTGCCCATCTGGCTGGGTTTCCCCAGCCACTCTGGGTGGCTTCCAACAAAACACTAAAATACAATAATCAATTAGACATTAAAAGCTTCCCTAGACAGGGCTGCCTTTAGATGTCTTCTAAAAGTTTGGTAGTTATTTTTCTCTTTGACATCTGGTGGGAGGGCGTTCCACAGGGCGGGTGCCACTACCAAGAAGGCCCTCTGCCTGGTTCCCTGTAACTTGGCTTCTTGCAGCGAGGGAACCGCCAGACGGCCCTCAGCACTGGACATCAGTGTCCGGGCAGAACAATGGAGGTGGAGATGCTCCTTCAGGTATACTGGACCGAGGCCGTTTAGGGCTTTAAAGGTCAGCACCAACACTTTGAATTGTGCTCGGAAACGTACTGGGAGCCAGTGTAGGTCTTTCAAGACCGGTGTTATATGGTCTCAGCGGCTGCTCCCAGTCACCAATCTAGCTGCCACATTTTGGATTAGTTGTAGTTTCCGGGTCACCTTCAAAGGTAGCCCCATGTAGAGCGCATTGCAGTAGTCCAAGCGAGAGATAACCAGAGCATGCACCACTCTGGCGAGACAGTCTGCAGGCAGGGAGGGTCTCATCCTGCGTACCAGATGGAGCTGATAAACAGCTGTCCTGGACACAGAATTGACCTGTGCCTCCATGGACAGCTGTGAGTCCAGAATGATTCCCAGGTGAGTTGGGAGCTCTCCAGATCTGGGAGGGCACTAAGTGTCTTGGTGGGTCGTGAACTTCCTTTGAACTGGAACGCCCTGGCCCAGCTTTCTAGGGCGGGCGGGCGGGTGTTCCTGGCTGTGCTGGCTTTGTGCCTGCCGCACGTGCGTGGCGGTGCTTAAAGTGCCCTCTGAGTGAGGTTTGCTATTAAACAAAAAAAAAGCTTGCCCTGATGTGTTCTTTGCTGTGGCTCTGGCTTTGCAAGGGGTTGGGCCAGACAACCCTTTGGACCCCACCCGGCGCTACAGTTCCACGATTCCTTGTGCTTCTTACCTTGTGTCAGATGGCAAAGGTTGTTGCTCACGAGTAACCAGGCAGGACTCCAACCTGTCTTTTACAGGTTTCATTTAGGTGCAAAACTATTGAAACCTCTCTCTGGGTGTGCAGAACCCCAAAGTTCATGTCTGCCTCAATCGCTAGCAGAATCCGGGAGTGCTTGTTTCCTAGACCCCCCCCCAGCATAAAAGTCTTGTTATGCCCAGCCTTTTCCTTCCCTCTTTGCGCTTTAGACTTCTGCGCAGGGTGGGTGACGGAAGGGGCGTGCTTCCCTCCTGGCTGACTTTGCCAGGAGCAATGCTGAGGCTCCCACCAGCATCCTCTGGTCCTTTCACCTCTCCCCCCTGCCCCCGGAGGTGGGGTTTTCCTGAAGAAGAACTGCTTTGCAAGATTTTCGGAGGCTCCCTGTAACACAACTTCCCCTCTGTTTCCCACCCCTGATCTGATGGCACTTCCCTGACACCTTGTTTTCTTTCCACCCCCTGCTCCACAGCCGCTCTACAACCAGCCGTCGGACACAAAGGTGTACCATGAAAACATCAAAACGTAAGTGCCTCGCATCACCACCAGCATGATGGTTCCCCAGCCTAGATGGCTTTGAAAGAAGGTTGGACTCTTGTATATGCAACTGAGAGATGGATAGTGGAAAGTCCTTTTTACTCACTTCTCTCTCTTTTTAAGAAATCTTTCTTTTCCTTTTCATTCCTTTCTTGTTTCCTTTAATACAGTGGTACCTTGGTTCTCAAACTTAATCCATTCTGGAACCAAAGCGTTCCAAAACCAAGGCACGCTTTCCCATAGAAAGTAATGCAAAAACAGATGAATCCATTCCAGACTTTTAAAAACAATCCCTAAAACAGCCGTTTAACATGAATTTAGCCATGTTAAATTTAAAAGTTAGCCATGGATCCATAAACTGAAAGCAGTAAACAATGTACAGTGGTGCCTCGCAAGACGAAATTAATTCGTTCTGCGAGTTTTTTCGTCTTGCGAATTTTTTGTCTTGCGAAGCACGGTTTCCCTGGGTATTAACAGTTTTAAGAAAAAGGAAACAAACTCGCAAGACATTTTCGTCTTGCGAAGCAAGCCCATAGGGAAATTCGTCTTGCGAAGCAACTAAAAAAACGAAAAACTCTTTCGTCTTGCCAGTTTTTCGTCTTGCAAGGCATTTGTCTTGCAAGGCACCACTGTACTGCAGTCACACAATCAGTCCATCAGTAGCTCCACACAGCCACAAAAACATTACAAAAAAGAGCCGCAAAAACAAAAACGCAAAATTAATAGCAAAAAAAGACAGACCGCAGCGTAACACTCAAATCGGAAGCGTAACACTCAGAACGGAGCACATTTGGCTTCCGAAAAAGTTCACAAACCAGAACACTTACTTTCGGGTTTGCAGTGTTTGGGTTCCAAGTTGTTTGAGTACCAGGGCATTGGGGGAACCAAGGTACCACTAATTAATAATAAAAATAAAATTTTTATTTATACCCTGCCCTCCCCGGCCAAGACCGGGCTCAGGGCGGCTAACACCAAATATAAAATACTGTAAAAACATTTTTTTTTAAAACCAGTTGATTAAAATACAGGTCCTGTATGCTTATCTCTTGGCTCTCTTTCCTTTTCCTGCTCTGCTCTGGTCTTTTGTATTTTGTGTGGTCCTCTGCATGTTAAGGTGCAGATGAAGGTGATGGTTCGTGGAGAAAGGACACTGTGTGAAAGGCAGGAAGGGAGGATCTCCCGGGGTGGGAGGATGGAAGGAGAAAGGAAGGCTCCCAGGTGGGAGCTCGGAGGGCCTACCTTTCTTTGTGTGGGACAAGTCAAGATTTACCTGTGAAAGATGACTTTGTAACACCCCCCTTCTCTTTTTTCTTGGTTTTTATTTAGTTTGGGTTTTTTGTTGTTAAGACTTAATAAAAAAGAGGATTGGACAAATTCATGGAGGAGAATAAAGCTCTCAAGAGCTACGCAGGGCTGCCCTTGAAGCTGTCCCAGAAACTCCAGAATGCTTCAACAAGACTCCTCACAGGGTCTCTGCCATGGGAGCATATTCACCCAGTGCTTTTCCAGCTGCACTGGCTCCCGGTGGAGTACAGGGTCAGATTTAAGGTGCTGCTTTTGACCTTTAAAGCCCTTCACGGCCTAGGACCCTCGTACCTACGGGACCGCCTCTCCTGGTATGCCCCACGGAGAGCCTCAAGGTCCATAAGTAGCAACACCCTAGTGGTCCCAGGCCCTAAGGAAGTCAGATTAGCCTCAACCAGAGCCAGGGCCTTTTCAACACTGGCTCCGGCCTGGTGGAATGCTCTGCCTCATGAGACCAGGGCCCTGCGGGATCTGATATCTTTCTGCAGGGCCTGTAAGACAGAGTTGTTCTGCCTGGCCTTTGGCTTGGAATCAACGTGATCCCCTCCCCCTCTTTCCTTTTTTCCTTTCTCCTTCTGTGATGGAGCTCCTATTTGGGGGCTTCCCTGGCTTTTTTCTGGCCCACGTAGGACCAATCTGGATAGTTGGCCTTGGTGAAGAGTTGACGTTTTCATCCCCAAAAAGTTTTTGATTTGAGTTTCTATTGAAATGAGGATGCATTTTAATGTTGTACTTTAATCTTGTTTTTCAGTTGTATTTTAATCAATTGTTTTTATACCTGGTGTTAGCTGCCCTGAGCCCGGTCTTTGCTGGGGAGGGTGGGGTATAAATAAAATTTATTATTATTGCCAGCTACAATAGCAATGCTCTGCCTCTGAATATTTCCAGTTGCTGGAAAGGGCAGTGGGAGAGAGTGTTCAGATCCTGCTGGCAGGCCACTTTGAGAACAGGATACTGGACTAGATGTGCTACTGGCCTGATGCAGCTAGGCTATGCTGTGCCTCCGCTATTGGAGGCAAGATGTCTCTGAAGCCTAGTTGCTAGGGACCGCAAATTGGGATGTCCCTCTTGCAGGCTTCCCATGGGAGGGTGTGCCTCTGGTTGGCTGCTGTGAAGACGGGATGCTGGACTCAGTGGGCCCCCTTTGGCCAGATCCAGCAGCCAAGCTCTCTTCTTATGCCCTTCATGCTCTTTTCTTGTTAGGAACCAAGTCATGAGAAAAAAACTGATCCTCTTTTTCAAGAGAAGGAATCACGCCAGGAAACAGAGGGTATGGATCTATTTATTTGCTTATTTTTTGTCCTCCTGCACATAAATTTTTGGGAGCGGCCGGTTAGCTTGTTGTTAGCACAGGCTGTCTCTTCCCTTCCCTTAAAACGCACCCCAAAACTCGCTGTCATTCGTCAGTTATGAGGGTATTTATTTCGGTGCTGAGAGTTGTCCGTTATACACAAAGCACAGCAGACGTCATTCACCTACCTGTAAGTGGGCATAGGTGGCAAATACCCAAACCTTACAGATGGCTCTCCTTTCTGGGCTCAGAACTCAGCACCCCAAGCCCCACAGGTAAGAGAAATGCCCCTAAATATGGAAGCTGTTAAATTTGGGTGTGAATAAGCTAACTGTGACATTAAGACATACTAGCTCACTAGGATGTATCAAAAAGGGCGTGTTTTACATGAGAAGTGCCTACGAAATTACCAACCATTTGATTTTGTGTGTTCTTTGTTAAAAACGAAACAGAGCTCTGATTGAGCACCAGTGAAGCTGAAACAGGGCAAAATTAGGCGGCTTGGTGCATTTCTGGGTTGCACATAATGCTAAACCGTGGATTATTAAACTATATTAAATTGTGACTTAGCATTATATGAGAACCCAGATCAGTACCTTAATTATGGTTTGTCAGCTTGCTTTAAGATTACTCATTAGCCAAGGATTTATATCTGGCTTATAAACGTTAGTTGGTATTAACCATAGCTTAGCATTACGTGCAAACTCGGACCTCCTCCTTAACCATGGTTAAGGAGCCATCACCAAATACACAGAGCCATGAGTGAACAGTGGCGAAAAATTTGAGCTGCTGGTCAAGGATCACCTGTTCTCCCTGATGCTTTTAAGTATCCTGTGATGTGACAAACCCAGGTTTAAGTGACGGGCTCCAAGGTGCCTCAGTTTTAATGATGGTTTACGCTAACCATGGTTTAGCAGTATTTCTGAACCAGGTCTCTATGCCCTGCTGAAGCCGCCATCTTTTCATTTTCGTGTCACGCAGTGGCATTCTAGCGTTGGGCGAGAGAGAGCTTTTTTTTAACCCAGAAATTGGGGGGATCGGGGCTGTGTGTGGAATTAACCAGGAGCAGAAAATCTGTCAGCGTTACGATCAGCTGATGGAAGCCTGGGAGAAGAAAGTAGACCGCATAGAGAACAACCCCCGCCGGAAGGCAAAGGAGAGCAAGACCCGCGAGTATTACGAGAAGCAGTTCCCCGAAATCCGGAAGCAGAGGGAGCAGCAGGAGCGGTTTCAGAGGTAAACGGGAGTGCGGGTCCAAATGGTCTGGAGGGCACCAGGCTGGCAAAGGCCGAGCTGGTCCAGCCTTCTGATTTCCCCCAACAGCACCTGGGTGGTGCCTCCCAAGTGAGACATTGATCAGAGGGCCATATCACAGAGTGGTGTAGGAGAGGCAGTGTGGTGCAGTGGTTAGCGTGCTGGACTAGGACCTGGGAGACCAGGCTTCAAATCCCCCTACTCAGCCAGGAAGCTCAGTTGGTGATCTCGGGCCAGTCACTCACTCTCCGCCCAACCTCCCTCACAGGCTCGTCGAGGACAAAATGAAGAGGAGAACCACGTCCGCCACCTTCAGCTCCTCAGAGGAAAGGTGGGTTTCAATGAATGAAATAAGGAATTCAGTTGGGGATTCCTTCTGCCTGTTTTGTGATTCCTATCCTCCTCTCCTTTTAAAAGCCACCTTAAAAGGAAGAGGCCACCCCACACACATCCTATGGTGGTGCCAATTTCACGCATCAGTTGGGGGCTCTCTGAAATGGGCGCAGGCCTCCTTCCCCGGGCTGGATCAAAACGTTTTGCAGTTGCATCAACATTGTGTTAGGATAGCCTTCTTTACCACCCTTGAGAGCAGCAGGCTGTACACAGCACATTCATCTCTGCCCTCCAAAATCTTGTCGCTGTTCCTTGTCCCTCCGTTATCTGCCACCTGAGGCGGCTGCATTACTCTGCCTCATGATAGGGCCGACCCTCTTGCTGCTGATAAGGTGATCCTCAGTTCTCATCTTATTTATATGTAAAAGGTAAAGGGACCCCTGACCATTAGGTCCAGTCGTGGCCGACTCTGGGGTTGCGGCGCTCATCTCGCTTTACTGGCCGAGGGAGCCGGCATACAGCTTCCGGGTCATGTGGCCAGCATGACTAAGCTGCTTCTGGCAAACCAGAGCAGCGCACGGAAACGCCGTTTACCTTCCCACTGGAGCGGTACCTATTTATCTACTTACACTTGATGTGCTTTTGAACTGCTAGGTTGGCAGGAGCAGGGACTGAGCAACGGGAGCTCACCCCGTCGCGGGGATTCGAACTGCCGACCTTCTGATCGGCAAGTCCTAGGCTCTGTGGTTTAACCCACAGCGCCACCCGCGTCCCCTATTTATATGTAGGAGAGAGCTAAAAAACAACAACCTTTTCCTCACATCTTTTGCCAAAGCTAGCATGCATCCGGCCCTGAAGAGGCTGGCTGACCACACCTCACCCTGATATTGCCCATTGTTTTTCTGTTCTCAGGAAAAAGCTACTTTTTTCTTTTCATTTTGGTTTCCCTTTCTATTGTTGTTGTTGCATCCCCAGGGTGGGGCAGAGAGGGACCGGGCTTTCGGCGACCATCGCCCGGAGCGAGCACGAAATCTCGGAGATAATCGACGGGCTCTCGGAACAGGAGGTGAGGACCAGGCTTCTTATTTATGTTAGAGCATCTTTACCCTTCTCTTCAGCCGAAAAGGCTCCCAGAGCGGCTTACATACAATCAAGGAAAACAAAACAGTCCCCTGCCTGCCTTACAATCTGATAAAAAACCAAAACATGACACACATACCATCTTTGAATTTGGAAGAGGGAAGGGTGCAGTCACCTTGTGCTGAGTCCCCTTGCCAGATATATTCTTACAAGCTCCATCCTCTTTTCTTTGTCAGGAGACCCCGTGGTCCCTTCCCAGAGCTATAATTGCCTTCACAGGGAACTCTGGGGATTGTAGCTCCGGGATGGGAATAGGTATACAGTGGCACCTCGGGTTAAGTACTTAATTCGTTCCGGAGGTCCGTTCTTAACCTGAAACTGTTCTTAACCTGAAGCACCACTTTAGCTAATGGGGCCTCCTGCTGCCGCCGCACCACTGGAGCACAATTTCTGTTCTCATCCTGAAACAAAGTTCTTAACCTGAAGCACTATTTCTGGGTTAGTGGAGTCTGTAACCTGAAGCATGTACTGGTTAACCCAAGGTACCACTGTACTAACAACTCTCAGTATCCTTAACAAACTACACTTCCCAGGAGCCTTTGGGAGAAGCCTTGAATGATTAAAGTGATCTCGTAGTGTTTTAACTGTATGGGTGTGAATGTGCCCTTGGCCTGACCCAACTGGGCTCTTCTGAGGTAGGCTAGTCAGAGGGGGCTTTGTGGGTCGAGACGGGTCTGGCCCAGACCAATGCAGCAAGCCTTATGGCTGGGACATTCTTACGTGTGTGAACATGGATTCGAATCCTGAAGTCCAGCATGGTGCACACATCCCATAACCTGTGCTTTTTATAGCCTGATCTTACGCCATGTCCAGCACAGCATGTTTTCCCTGTCCTAATGTGATTTTCTTAGAGCGTTGGCAAACCCCTTAAATCATCTGCAGCAAAGGGTAGCTTTTCATGAACAAGCACCACCATCTTCCCTGTTTCTTCTTCTTCTTCTTCTTCTTCTTCTTCTTCTTCTTCTTCTTCTTCTTCTTTAGTACTTGTAACTAAGGAAGTCCAAGATGTAACACAAGAGCTGACACCCCCTTCCCCCTTTTTAAAAAGCAATTTTGGCTCTGTCTGGCTGACTTGAGGGGTCCATTACTTGTAAACAGAAACTTCACTACAAATTTTTGTGTGTGTGTTTTTTCCTTCTCCGGTCTTGCAGAATAACGAGAAACAAATGCGCCAGCTCTCGGTCATTCCTCCCATGATGTTTGACGCGGAACAGAGGCGGGTGAAGTTCATAAACATGAACGGGCTGATGGAGGACCCCATGAAAATCTACAAGGACCGGCAGTTCATGAACGTCTGGACAGACCACGAGAAGGAGATCTTTAAAGAAAAGTACTTTTATTTATTTTGTGTGGGGTTTCTTAAGGGCGTGCATTGCACAGTAGAAAAATCGGTTGCATGGCGACAAACTAGGGCCAGTAAAGGCAAGCGATGGTCTAATTCAGGAATGCGGAATCTGTGGCCCTCCTGTGGACTACAGATCCCATCATCCTTGACCATTAGATGGGGCCAATGGGGCTTGGGAGTCCCAGCAACACCGGGAGGGATAAAGGTTCCCCATCCCTGAACTGGACCATCACTTGCTTTTACTTCCCCTCCAACACTTGCCCTCACTGCCCCTAGATACCTCCAGCATAACTCTGCCTCCTTTTAAATCAGGGATGGGCGACCTGTTCACTTCCAGCTGTTACTGGACTACAGCTCCCATCATTCTTGTCGGTTGGTAGGGTTGAACGGGGCAGATGGGAATTGTATGTTATTAGGACCCCTGGACAGTTAAACTCAGTCAAATTCGACTATGGGGTGCGGCACTCATCTCCGCTTTTAGGCCGAGGGAGCTGGCGTTTGTCTGCAGACAGCTTTCCGGGTCATGTGTCCAGCATGACTAAGCCGCTTCTGGCGAACCAGAGTAGCGCACGGAAACGCCGTTTACCTTCCCACCGCAGCGGTGCCTATTTATCTACTCGCTCTGGTATGCTTTTGAACAGCTAGGTTGGCAGGAGCTGGGACAGCAACGGGAGCTCACCCTGTCGCGCAGACTCGAACTGCCGAACTTGTGATTGGCAAGCCCAAGAGGCTCAGCGGCTTAGACCACAGTGCCACCCACGTCCCTGAGTGTATATATTATTAAGTCAGCTTCAAACCAATGCTTTTGTAGCCTGGGTAGTTCTGAAGCTGGGAACCGTAATATCTAAGTATGGACACAATGGAAAAACTGGTTAATTAAAAGACTTCTGTTTTGTTGGCTCGCTCTGTTTGCGGGAGCAGTGGGTTCATTTCACGTAGAAGCTTATTCAGCTTAATGATTGACAAACCACAGATTGCTAATAAATGCTCACAATTACTTTGGATTCAGCTGCCGGAGTTGTTTGTCTTCTGTGGTTGCCATGCAAGTGGCGCATAGTCGTCAGGCTTGGTATTCAACCCTGAAATGCTCACCTTTCGTTAAAAAAAACGAAACAGAGTTCAGGTTTCTAGTCCTGATGGATGATGAGAGTATAGGCTTTTAGACCCTGCAGGTGATGTCCGGCAAAAGGAACGCAGAATGCTGCCTTATAATGATCCAGGCCATTAATCCATCCAGCTCAGTATTGTTTGCACTGTTCGGCAGCAGCTTTCTAGGGGTTCAGGCAAGGAAGCCTTTTCCCAGCCCTACCTGGAGATTAGGGATTGGACCAGAGATCTTTGGCATGCCAAGGTGGTAGGCGCAGCCCCTCAATTTAATGGGCCTTTCCCACAAGATTCAAGTCCTTGTCTGAATTAGAGGGCTGATTTAATAGGAACCTACATAGCTGCCTTCTGCGAAGCCAGCCCATCAAGCTTAATGTTGTCTACACAGACCAGCAGTCTTTCACCTGGAGATGCCAGGACTCGAACCTGGGACTTTCTGCATGTGAAGCCAGGGCTGTCCCACAGGGCTACGGCCCTTCCTCCAGTTAAATGCCAGAAGCTGACAGGGCGACCAAGCAGGGTTTCTTGAAACTGGGGCGGGGGTGCTTTGGCTATTTTGAATCCCTCCTTTTTAATATTTGAACTTGCCTTTAACCAGGTTGCAAAAGGGGTCTAGCAAAATGCAGCCCTGGTAACTGTGATGGTTTTAATTTTGGATGGCAAAACATGATGTTTTCTCTGTGTGTTTTCCTCAGATTTGTCCAGCATCCTAAGAACTTTGGCCTAATTGCTTCCTACTTAGAAAGAAAGGTGAGACGATGCGTTTTTGGTTTTGTTTTTTGTGTGTGATGGAATGTCCACTTAATTCTCAAGATGGCCTCTTAAGTGGTTTGCACTTGCAAACTATGCCTGATTAAAATTCTCTACAACAAATATTCACACAAGCCACACTTCGGCTAAAGACACCCGCGGTGTGTAGCGTTATGTGTGACCCAGGCTAATGTAATTCCCTCACTTCTAAGCCCGGGTCTGCACAATTGACGGTGAGAGCATTTACATGGCGTATCCCACTGAGGGTCCGTAAGTAAGCAAATCTTTCCATTTCAGAATGTTCCAGACTGTGTCTTGTATTATTATTTGACCAAGAAAAATGAGAACTACAAGGCCCTTGTGCGAAGGAACTACGGCAAGCGGCGGGGAAGGAACCAGGTGCGTTGCGTTGAGTGTTACGACCCGCTCGTTTTCTCACGACTGAAAAAGGCAATTTTAAAATTATTATTATCTTACAAATATATATATCTATATCTATGTAATTTTCTATGCAAAGTTTTGTGGGGCGCTGTTTTTAAAGAAGTTTTCCCCACCCCAAATGTACTGATGGCTCGGGCAAAGGGTTTTTCCTTGGATTAAAACGAGAGAATTCACTGTTGTACCAAGAAAAAAGATCTCTCTCTCTCTCTCTCTCTCTCTCTCTCACACACACACACACACACACACACACACAGCGCGAGAGATGCCCTTGCCCTTCCTCCCTGTGGGTTCCCCAGGGATGTCTGCTTGGCTTGTGTGTGTTTGTGTCAAAGGGTACTGGATTAGATGGGCCTTTGGCCCCGACCTAGCAGGACTTTCCTCATCTCGTTTTGGAGTCTAACCTCATCGACAACGGTTTGGATCGCCTGCAGTATGGGAGCGCGGAGAAGTTGCTGAACAAATTCTCCGGTCTGTTCAGGGATTATAGGGGGCAACGCAAAGGCATTGCGACCCCCCGAACCTCAAGGGGGGCCCCCTTGAGGGAACCGCAACCAGCAGCGTCGGAGGGACCCGAAGCTCTTCTGGGTTCTCTTTGAGAAGACTCAGGAGTGACGGATCGAGAGACGCACCATGGTAAGCCCTGCGAACCCTGTGCAGAAATGCCTCGAGCTCTCACTGAAAACGGCGACAAATCTCCATAACTTTTAGAACAACCGTTCTTGGGGCTGATTAACAATTGTCAGCGATGAAAATTTGAAGAATAGAGCCCAAGACGGGTTGGATGGGAGCAGATTAAACTAAGGAGCCCGATCTGTATTTCGGAGTTAAGATGGCGCTGGGACGCGAATCGGGAGAGTGAAACAAAGAAACACTTACTCACCCGCTGTAGAAAAGAAGAGGGGAAAGTCCCCGTTGGGAGTGTCACGGGGCAAAGTATCCAAGAAAGATAGTGTTTATTCGAAGAAGAGACGTTAGAGACTTTGTATTGTATCGGAAAAGATCGTTGAGAATTGGCTGCGGAGAAAACCTTAGAAGGAGTGTTGGGAAAATAGAACGGAGGCGATAACTAGAGACAGAGACGGAGGGAGTAGGAGGGGGAGAGGAGAGGAGAGAAAAAAAAAGAAGAGAAAAACCTCTTTTGAGAATACGGATGAGTGGAGCTGAGATCGGTGCTCTTCCAGTGGCCCATCGATGCGGATAGCAGCTTCGGATCTCCGTCTCTCCACCTCCCCCCTTCTTGTTTCCCTGTCTTTTGTTTTTTTTTTTCTCGGAGTTGATGACTCCCCGGAGCCTCTTGGATATTGATTGCCTCTACAGCTTTTGATTGCTGGCTGGCGACGGAAGGAGAGAGTCCGTGCAGGCTCAGGCACGTACGCCAGTCTTTACTTGCATTGGGTTGTAATTAAGTTGAAACTTTAAAACTAAGTTAAAACCTTAAAAATCGGGCCGAACCCTGACATTGGGATAAATATCAATGGACTCAAACAGTATCCCGGACATAATTTATAAATAACTACAAAGTTAATACAAACTCGACTACGGAGGCGGTGACCTTTTCTCAGCCTAGACCAATTGGTAGAACACCCCACTTCTCTTTTTCCACCCTTTGTTTTTCTTTTTTCTGGATTTTGGGGTCAATAGAAGTACTACCTCTTAGATCACCTCTACATAAAGCAAGAAGGGACTGTTGAATAAAAGGCTTTCCATCCCCCCCTGGTGGACTACCTTAACCTTGTGGAAAGACCTGGAAATTTGGGCGGCTGCCAGACTCTTGCCCGCCTTCTCTTGCCCGCCTTCTCTTGCATTTTACGCTTGTCTTCTCATCCACTGCCTCACCCCCTACTCCCTACGAGAGTGCTAACCAGATCAGAATTTGATTATTGAAGCGGCGGCAACAGCGAGAACTTTGGATTAGACCAAACAAGTGGTTGAAGTCAGAATAAAAGAAAGACCTATAAACGCCTGTGAGACTGCCTTTTGAAACTCCTGAACCTGCTCCCTGCTTCCCGCTTCCTTTTCCCTTAGCCCCCTCCCCCCGCTCCTCCTCATCCTCCTTTTTATTCCACATATTATATTTCCTTCCTTCCTTTTCAGAGAACTAATAATAAGGTTACAGCCTGCGTAAAGAGCAGGATAGTGGAACTTTACTTGACACAACTAGAAGTAACTAGATTGTGCGCCCCCTAGGGGATAGCAGGAGGAAATATAAGTTTGATTATTGGTAAGGATCGGGGAGGGGGGAGGGATAGGATCGGGCAGATGGCGGGAAGGGACGGGAAAAAGTCGGTAGGAACGCCAACAGAGAGGAAAATTTCAAGGCAAGAGGAGATAAGGGACTTAGACGCCCTGTGGTTGAAAATAAAGGAAGAATTTAGACAAAATGAAACCCATATGGAAAAAAAGTTGGGAGAGATGCAGGAATCCTTTGATAAAAAAATAGAACAGGCAGTAGGGGAAATGTCAAACAAAATTAAAGATGTAACGGTCCGAACAAAGTCCCTAGAGGACTCAAATAGGAGAATGCAGAAAGAGATGAAAGACCAGAGTAGAGAAGTTGGGAAAATTAAGGAAAACTTTGAGGAACTAAACAAAAGTCAGGACCAAGTCTTAGATAATTTAGCCATGATGGAAATGAAACAAAAGCAGCTGAATTTGAAATTTAGAGGAATAGGAGAAGTGAGAGATGAGGATGTAAAAGGAAAAATGACAACAGAACTGGCAAGGTGGCTAGCATGGAGAGAAGACGAAGTTGCTCAAACCATAGAAAACGCTTTTAGAATAAAAATAAGACCGAAGCAAAACAAACAGAAAAAAACACCAGGGGACTGCTTGGTGATTTTTAGATCGATGGAGATGAGAAATAGAATTTTGAAAGAAAGTTACCAGAAGAAATTGATAATTGACGGAAGGCCAATTATCATTTTTAAGGAAATACCAATCAGACTTCTTCGGAAAAGAGAGGGCTACAAACAGATAGTCAATACTTTGAGAAAGAATGGCATACAGCACAGATGGGAATTCCCTGAAGGGATTTCCTTTTTTTATAAGGGAAAAAGGTTCAAGATAACAGAGATTCAGGAAGTTAGCAAATTCCTCCGTAGATATGAAAAAGAGCTAGGGGGCTAGTAGAGGGATATGGAGGGAGGGGAGGAGAGAGGGGAGGGGAGGGAGGAGTGGGTTTGGGGGGAGGTTGGAGGGGAAGAAAGAGAGGGGGTGGGAGGGAAAGAGGATCAGGAGGAGGAGGAAAGAGAGGAAGAGACAGGGGAGGAACAGGAGGAAGTAGAGAACTAAATTACCTGAACTCAAATCGGTTAAGAGCCTAAAATTTATACCGACAAATTACCGACCTTATAAATAATGAATCTCAAAATTCTAACATGGAACGTAAATGGTCTGAATGAAAAAACAAAAAGGAATAAAATTGCAAATGCGCTAAAGAAGAAAAAATTGGATGTAATCTGTATACAAGAGACTCATGTAGCCAAAAAGCACAAACATGTATTAGTTAATAAAAATCTGGGAATAGAATTTATAAACTCTGGGAAAGAGAAAAAAAGGGGAGTGGTAACATACGTTGATGGAAAATGGGAACCCAAACTGACATATAAGGATGAAGAAGGAAGAATCCTGGGGGTTCAAATAAGCTTCAAGGGAGAGAAAATTAATGTGGTGAACATTTATGCCCCAAATACAAATAGGTTAGAGTTCTATAAAAAATTGGAACAAGTATTATTAGAATTAGGAGATAATAAGATGATACTACTGGGAGACTTCAACGCAGTGCCGACACTAGAAATGGACAGACAAACAGATAAGAGGAAAAGAAAACAGGGTAAATTGCCGGAATCATTCCACAATTTAGAAGAGAATATGGACCTAACAGATGTCTGGAGACACAAGCACCCAACAGAAAAACAGTTCACCTTTTTTTCAGAGGTACACAAAAGTTGGGGAAGAATAGACCAAATTTGGGCCTCAAAAGCAATCACCTTAAGAGTCACGAAATGCGAAATTCAACCGAGAACCCTCTCCGACCATAATTCAATAACCTTAGAAATAAAAGGGGAATCGCAAGGAGGTTTTAGATGGAGATTAAATGATTATCTGCTAGACAATGACGAGGTCATCGAAAAAGCCAGAGCCACCCTAAAAGAGTATTTAGTTTTAAATCTTAACACAGGAACTAATATAGAAATAGTCTGGGACGCAAGTAAGGCAGTCTTGAGAGGATTTTTTATCCAGCAGAACAACTATAGGAAGAAAATAAAACAGCAAAAGATAGAGGAAATACTCGGACAGTTAAGGGAGCATGAGAAAAAATTAACAAAAAACCCAAAAGATGAACAAAGTTTACAAACAATAAAAATATTACAAAGGCAATACTCAATATTAATGAATCAGGAAATAGAGTGGAAAATAAAAACAATGAGGCAGAGATATTTCGAATCGGCGAACAAAACAGGGAAATTCCTAGCCTGGCAATTGAGAAAAAGACAAAAGCAAAATGTTATAAACAAAATAATGGTAGGAGAGGAACTAATAACAGATCCAAAAAGGATACAACAAAATTTCCTCCAATTCTATGAAGAGCTGTATAAAAAAGGAGAAGAGGACTTAACCCAAATAGAAAAATACCTGGAGAGGAGTACAGGGAAGACCGTCACTGAAGAAGAAAGAACTCAACTAAACAGACCTATAAGTTTAGAAGAAACTGAAAGGGCAATTAAAAAAATGAAACTGGGTAAGGCACCAGGCCCAGACGGTTTATCGGCAAAATATTACAAAGTTCTGGGAGACCAACTCGGACAAACTCTCTGCGACACTATGAATAATATTTTAAGAGGAGGGAAAATTCCCGAGTCATGGAAGGAAGCTTTCATAACACTGATCCATAAACCAGACACAGATAAATTGAATATGAAGAACTACAGACCTATATCGCTATTAAATAACGATTATAAAATATATACTGACATTATGGCGAATAGATTGAAAAAATGTCTAATAAA